TTTCTGGTAGTAACGGAACTACGAAATAGCATATAATTTTTGAGCTCGAAATTATATCAAGAATAATATAGAGATCAATAATGACAAGGTTAATAGAAAACAGCATTCTGGTGAACGAGCATCATTTGTATTCCACAGGATTTTATCCAGGAGTCTATTGATTTTTGATAAATTATATTCTTTTTATAATCTGCGAATATTATGGAGCTATATACGTATGTCCAGGCTGTAACTCTGAAATTTCTTCGAAAAGAGCAGTAATTTTTTTTTATCATGATTTTTTTCCCAAATAACTGCAATGATATATCACTTGAGAAGTACACAGAGAGAGAGAGAGAAGAAAAGAGAAAAAAATAGAGAGAGACTGAATCGAAGGTAAAGGACTGCACAAAGACTGGAGAATAGTCTTTGCAATTTACATCTTCTGCTCTACCCCTTAACTCTTTTACTCACAGCCAAAACGTGGGTTGAGCGATGCCCAGCAACTATATCTTTCACGGAGTCCACGCTTTCAATTGTTATGAACGATGGCACAAGTGTAGAAGAGTTCTCCTTATTAATAATTGTTAATTGCTTATCCTGAATATGCACCTAACTAACGTCACTGGGAAGAATAAGGATAGCGCTGAAGCAAACAGCTAGTGGTTACCACTAAGCCTACTCGTGAAATCATTGCAACCATTGCAGAAAATTTCTGTTTTTTCGAAAGCAGGGCCTGATCTCATGTCTGACCTTTGCATGATTGGTTTAGTTAAACTTACGAAAGTTACTGAGGAACATAAATTGTGTATTCTCAAGGTTTTCTCAAGAGTAGAATTCATTTTGAACATATTATTTCAGGATGAACCTCTTCCTGCTGACGTCTATTGGAGTCTTCCCTTCAACATGATGATAAAAAATCAGCAAGTTTTCGTGGCTTGTCACAAGATCTACGGAAATCTAAAAATTAACCAGCATTAGCCCATTAGCACTCACATTACACGTAAACGAAACTTACAAAAAAACGTGGTAATTTGCTATCACTGTCGTCTTGCCCCTGTTTGTACATACGATAATCATTGTAGTGAATTTGAATGAAGATTCACCATTACGCTGTTGCTATTGGCTTTACGCTAAGGTTAGGCAGCGCCTCAGAGATTAACATAAACAGCTTGATACAATACGACAAAGATCATTCACGCTGCTGACAGATTTAATTCTCCTATTACTTCTAGTACAAGAGTTAGGAGGCAGCTTAAAACTCACTAACAGCAGAATAGATCAGTGGACATGCAACAGAGCGTCCATCGCCCGGCCACTACGTTAATAGTTTTTAGATAATTAGGGAACAAACACTGCTTTTTTCTACGCAATTGAGAACTGCACCGCGTTACAAAGTGGACGGCCTGTCTGAGAGTCGTGCGTATATTCTAGAGTGCATTCTAAAGCACCCATATCTGCATACAAGGAAAAACTGTATAGATCCGTC